AAACAGGCACGGCGATAAAGAACAACCATGTTTTATGCCTGTCTGCCGCTCGTACCACGACGACTCCGCTCCCTCCATTTCGACCTTGAACTGCGCGAAGCGGTAGATGCTTTGCACCGATTCGATCGGTTTGGGGCGCACATTCAGCGGTCCATGACAGTCCAGAGGCTCTCTCGCGCCACCTTATCCAACGCTTTTTCCCGATCGACTAAAACCATCAGCACCTTCGCCCATATCCGCGAACTGTCGCGCGCAATGAATGGCGCGCACTGTGGCCCTGCGCCCTCGAAAGCCAAACTGCGTGGATTGAACGCGCGGGCCGATGCGTTCCTCAATGCGCTTCTGCAGGATTGCGGCACTGAGCTTATGGACGGTATTGAATAGTGAGATCAGCCTGTAGTTGTCCAGTTTGCCGGTGACCCCCTTATGGAGATAAGTGCGACACAAGCCTGAGCTACGAAGGGAGGCACTACTTCGAAACCACCACTCGTTGAGCAAGTGTAAAATTTTGGACAAACCAGCGTCGTCCAATTATCCCAGAGCCCCCACTGGGATGTCATCCGGCCCAGGAGCCCTGCGTCGCTTGCACTTCGCCGAGACCGCGCGCGCCTCGCCCAGGGCACATCACCAGCATTCTAAGGCAGGAGACGTTGCACTATCTTGGAGCGCGGCAGCGCCGAGCCTGGGGCGGCATCTGCCGCCCCCCATTGCTTGTCTGCCAAATGTTCGGCGGCCACTTCTGCAATTTGGTATTTTGGTGCATGTTTGCCAAATGCAGTTTTGAAATCGCACGGTTGAGCGACGCGGCCTTTTTTGAATTGACGAATGCCTAATTACACGTCCCGAGCGTCGAGGTCCTTGCCCACGGCTCTGATGATACACCCCCTGTGGTCTCGTTTTTTTGTTCCCCGAGAATGCGGTGAGCCGACTGTGCGCGTGCAGATCCTGATTATATGGAGAGAGAGTGCCAAAAAAGCCCAGGGGCGTTTTTGGCCCCCACACCTATGCATTTATTTGCAAAGGCATAGAAAACGAAAAAGCAGGAGGAGAGACAAAAAAAAGGGACGACGGAGAGGGAGAAAAGAGAGAAGTGGGAACGCCAAGAGAAGAGGGAGGAGGAGGAGGAGGAGGAGGAGGAGGAGGAGGAGGAGGAAGAGGAGGAGGAGGAGGAAGAGGAGGAGGAGGACAGCAAGCAGGGAGCTCAGCAGCATAGCTCAAGCGCTACCAGAGGGCCCTCCTCCCTCCCCCTCTCCCTCCCCCTCCCCCCCTCTCTCCTCCTTCCCCCCCCCCTCTCTCCCTTCCTCTCCCCCCCTCCCTCCCCCTCCCCCCTCTCCCCCTCCACGGCGGCGACGACGGCGGCGAAAACGACGACTACGACGACGACAAGCCCTGGGCCCTCGGGGGATGGCGCCGCGGTCGTCCAGCACCCCTAGGTGGGGGTGGGGACGGCAGCCCCCGAGGGTCGCAGGGTTATTTTTTAGCGCGCCACTGGCGTCTTGGGCGCCCTGCTCTCTGATTCCGATTGTCGAAGCCTTTCAAGCGTCTTCGGCCCTAGCCGAGACTGGAGATGGAGAACTAATAAAGGTAAATTAAAAAAGAAGAAAAAAAAAAGAATAAAAAAAAAAAATGAAATAAAAAAAAATAAATAGAAAGCAAAAAAAAAAGAACAAATAAATACAAAAAAAAAAAAAAAAAGAAAAAAAACAAAGAAGAAAAAAAAAAAATAAAATAATAAAGAACAAATAGAACAAAAAGAAATAAAACAAAAAACAAAAAAATAAATAAATAAAAAAGAAAAAAAAAAAAGTTAGTTTTTTTTTTTTTTATTTTATTTATAATAAATATTTAGCCCGGCGCGGACAAGAATATCCACGAGAATGCTGCAACCCATTAGCACGAATGCGTGCGGCGCTGGGGGCGAGACCGGTGCACCAAGCGTGCTCTGAAGATAATTGCGCTTCAATATATTTTTATACATATTGCATTATATGTATCATTATCATAATCATCATTTGCGCTCTTGGCCGCCCTGCTCTCTGATTCCGATTGTCGAAGGCCGTTTGCGTCTTCGGCCGCCGCTGGGAGAGGGAGATTGCCGGTGCGACGAGAGATCTCAGAGAATGCGCCAAGTGCATTCTGAAGGTAACTGCGCTTCAAAACATCTATCATAATAGAGTATGATATGTATTATTACCATAATCTTCAGTTATTGTATCATTATCCATTTTCGTTATATGTTATCATTATTACCATTTGCCTCCTCTCCTTCTCCTCGCCTCAGAGGCTCAAGCTTAGGCAGCAGACGAGTTACGCTGACTGCTTGTTGGCAATAAGGTTAGCTGATGGCTAACGTCATATGCGGCGGCATGAAGACGTTGGGCGTTGTATTGGACTCGCCAGGGAAGACAAATCAAATCCTGGCAGATACGGACAAGGAAGTTACCAACAAGAAGTTGCAGTTTGCTACGGAAAATCCGGTTATCAAGTGGCAGGCGCCCGTTGTGACCGAAATTTCTGATTTGCCTGTTTACCCATACCCACATGGGAACATTAATCAGAAAAACAGGTGGGTGGTTGATTGCGTTTTAGATTGGGATGGGAAGTTCGACAATGATGCACAGAATATCATCAAGCAGCTTTCAAATGATTTCCATGGAAGTAGCGAGTGGAGTGAAGGGTGGGATGGCAGTTACAATGACCATGTGAAAGGATTGATAGCTCAACAAATGCAAACGGGCAGCTACGACAAGTTACCGCAACCGTTCGGTCCTTCGAGTTCGTGGCAAGTAGCGTGCACCATGCAGTTGGCGATTGTGCCCGCTGACGATAAGTGGCACGTGATCAAACACATTATGTTCGAAGAACAACAGAAGTTGATCAAAGTGACGGAAGAATTCGCGTGCGGAACCACTTACTGCCACAGCTGGTGGCCTCACAACCCTTGGAGCT